CAGTGGTTAAGAACAATGAGTGCTCTGTTCAGTTCCCAGCACCCACATGGCAGCTCCCAACAATCCACAGCTCCAGTTTCAAGGGATCCAACACTGTCTGGCTTCTGTAGGCATTGTGTGATACAGGTGCATTTACATACATGCAGGCGATACATTCAAACATATAAAATAAAAATAACAAAAAAATTTTTTTAAGTTTTTTCTATGCCAGGTAGATTTGTGCATGAGAGATCATCTTGTCTCAAAATATGTAAATGAATAAGCAAGTGAATAAAGAAAACATTTTAAAACTCAGATCTTAATGGCCAGCGTTGTTTCCTGTTGTTGTATTTATTGTATTGTTTATTCTACATCCATGGATACAACTTTCAGGTAGGAAATATTTTGGGGAAAAAAAGATTGCGTCAGGGGCTGGAGAGATGGCCCTGGAACTAGAGTCACAGATGGTTGTTAACCTCCATGTGGGCGCTGGGAATTGAACCTGGGCCTTCTGTAAGAGTAGCCAGTGCTTCTAAGCACTGAGCCATCTCTCCAGCCCTCTTGCCCTTATTCTTTAGACAACAGAGTATAACAGTTATTTACAGAGCATTTATCAGGGATCACAAATAACCTAGAGACAAAGGTAGTTTGCAGGAAGATGTGTGTAGTTTATATGCAAATATTGTGCTGTTTTATATGATGAACCTGGAAATCTTCAGATTTTGGTATTCTAGGGGGTGGTCCTGAAATGATCCCTCCCCTGTAGGTACAAGGGACACTGTGTATATTGATGGTTCAAATGATTACATTTGAACTGAGCTGGATTAAAGGAATTAAACAAGTTCCTTTAGGATACAGTGGCTTTCCAAATCCTACACTTGCTAATGTACAGTACTTCTATAGGAAGTTATAATGTTTGATATTTCTCAAACTTATTTGACCACAGGAAGCTTCTCTCTTTTTAAAAAATGTTATATTTATTTTTTTGTGTGTATGTACATGTATAGATCTACAACATACCTGTGGAGGTCAGAGGACAACTTGTGAAAGTCGGTTCTTCTACCATGTGGGTTCCTGGGATCAAACTCAGGTGGTCAGGCTCTGCATCAAGTACCTTTACCTGCTGAGCCATCTCGATGGCCCAGGAAACCTCTTTCCCCCACAAAGCACCAACTGACATTTCTAGGATATTAATCTTCCTCAAAATGTGTTTTAGGAAATGTTTGACACAAACTCCAAAATCCTTCCTAATTAGCATATCCATAAAACTAGACTCAGAATTGCTGGGATGTGTGAGACCTACAAACATAACTGAGTGGATGAGAAGGATGCCTCGCAGCAGTGTATATGGGGGCATGCCAAATGCTTGCACACAGTGGGACCACATGGTGTGAGATGCTAGTGCCCAAGGTTAGGGATCAGAGAACCACATGGTGGAGGTGAGGGCAGAAGTTCAGAAAGGGGAGTTGGAGCCTTGGCAGGAGGAGGAGCACATCTCAAAGACAGCAGGATGGTAGCAGAAATAGGAGATTCCTACATTCCAAGAATTGTTCAAATTGCTAAATATGTAAAGGATATGGAAAAACCCATCTCTCGAAGAAGGGAATTACAAATACAGAAAGGAAGAAGCTCCAGATAAACTCATGGTTTTCAACAGTTAGACTCAAGTATACACCAACATGCATACACACATACACACCCTCCTATATAAATTGTCATATAGTCCACAGTTCTGTCCATTGAGAGGATGTGACATTAAAGAGACCTCAAAAGCAAAGATGATGTCCATCACTGGATCTTAGCTTTGAAATACCAATTTTTACTGTTAGATCACAGACCCTCTAGCTGCCTCTCTCCCTCCAGAAACCAGGCCATGCCCCCCTCCTGTCTCTCTCTCCCCACTCCCTCCTTCCCTACCTTCTCTCCCACAGAGTTAAAAAACTGTATTGTAACCTTGCAGTCCATCCTCTTCAAAGATGCAAGAGAAATTTATAGTCCTACCCAGTACTTGGCTCCTGTAGATTGTGTCACACTAAATCATGCAGTGTGCCAGGCTCTGAAAACATAAAAGTCAGATAGCCCCTTTGTTCAGGGGACTTCTCTGATTTCTCTCTCTTTCTCTCTTTCTCTCTCTCCCTTTTCCCTCCCTTTCCTTCATGTCATGTTGTCCATGACAGCTGTCTTGTCTTCTCTTTTCCCTTATCCTTTCTAATGCTCTCTTACCCCAAGAATCAACCACAGTCCCCATGTTTACAAGTCTATCTCCTAATAAAGTTCATTCCTGAAGGGTAAATGATCTAAGTTTCCTTTCCTGCTGTTGTATGTGTTTCTATAGTTTATAATTTCTGTTCTATTTACTTTCTATTTCTGTGATACAAACACTGACCAAAACTAACTAGAGAAGGGTAGGGTTTATTTGACTTAGAGATCACAGTCCATCATCAAGGGATGCCAAGGCAGGAGCTCAGGGCAGGAACCCAGAGCTCAGACCACAGAGGAATGCTGCTAACTGGTTTGCCCCCCTGGCCTGTACTCAGCCTGCTTTCTTATACAATACAGGTCCACCTGCCCAGGGGTGGCACCACCCACATCTCTCCCACATCACTCAACAATCAAGAAAATGCCCCACAGACATGGCCACAGGCCAATCCAATGGAGGCAATTCTTTAGTTGAAGTTCCCTCTACCCAGATGTGTCAAGTTGACAACTGAAGTTATCCAGCACAATATCTACTTAATGAAACCAAGAATTCTTTTTTTTAAAAAATTTTTGTAATGTTATTTTTATTTTATGTGTATGAGTGTTATGCCTGCATGTAAGTGTACCTGTGTCATGCAATGCCCATGGAGGACAGAAGAGGCTGTTGGATACCCTGGAACTGGAATTACAGACAGTTGTTACCTGCCATATAGGTGCTGGGATTCAAACCTGGGTCTTCTGCAATAACAATCAGTGTTCTTAACTGCTGAGCCATCTCTCCAGCCCCCAAACCAAGAATTCTTAGAGAAATGGCAGATTTCAGTACTGGTACAGGAAATGTTTGAAATATCTACTATCAGAAATAAAAAATAATGTGCCTGAAGATTGAGAAGTATTTATAAAAATGACACGGAGAAAAAAAAGAGGGGAAAAAAGGGAAAAAAAACACACACACACTCAGAAGTCAGCTTCTACAGTTTAATCAGGGATTTAAAAATGGATCAGCTACCCGATGACTTTGTAGACATACACAGGCGCCAAGGATCCAAGTGCAACCGATTATGACTAGTAATAATCAGATACATACAGATCAGAGATGCACGCACCGACATCTCAGTGTTAGTAGCAAAAATAATGAGTCTTTCTGCAAGGAAAAATATATTCTAAAATGAAATGGAGATCTTTTTTAAAGGTTAAAAAACTCATTCAATTTTATGTCTTACAGGGCTTATACTGAGTTCAATATTGTATAACTTTATTAACAACTGTGAACCTAGAAACTTGCACCCACTTGTGAAAGAGATGTACTCTTGCTCTGGAGTGTGTTACTGAATATGTTAAATCTGTAGTGAAATGCTTCTTCTAACCATGTAGTTATTAAAAATTTTTTTTAAATGGATCAGTTTGTTAGTCACAGATCATAACCCCCTGAATAACAGAGCAAACCAAGAGTTCATACAGACCTAAGAAAACAAGTGACTTTAAAGTTTGATGAGAAAACAGACATTTGCATAGTTTTATAGCAGCTCTCCACAAAATACTAACTTCATGGAGAAAAGAGGAAATTTACAGTGGAGAAATCCACAATAGACACTGCATTGATCAAATGATCAAAGTGGGTTCCATCAATCCAGTGGGATAGTTAATATACAATAAAATAAAACTCACAGGGCTTCTGTGAAGGTTCAGGGGAAGTGGAACTTGAAGCTAATTAAGAAGAAGCATGGGACAGAGCCCAACCAAGGGCTGGTCTATAAAGCAGTTACCCTGTGTTGAAAATATATTCCAATCACGAAAGCAGAAAGAAGACGGACAAGTGTTTCTAAACAGAGTGAAACCAAGATGAAGCATGAACAGGAACTGGGTTGGGGTCCTTCAGGACAGTAGGGATGATTGGAAAATTTTGAATGGCATTTGAGGACCATGAACAGAGACACAACAATGCCAGTTTCCTGACTTAGATGGTTGCTTTCTGGTGATAAATGTGAATGTCCTTGTTGGGAAATATACATTAGAGTGTTTGAAGCTTACTTTTTTGTTGCTGTAATTTAAAACACTGGCCAAATAAACTTACAGAAGCTAGAGTTTATTTAGTTTATGGTTCCAGAGGGATTAGAGTCCATCATGGTGGTGAGGCATGGCAGCAGAAGGTGGCTGGAGCAGAAAGCAGAATGCTCACATCTTCAAGCTGGCACAGGAAACAGAGTGAGATGGAAATCTGAACCTACCCCCTAGTGATGTGCTTCCTCCAGCAAGGCCACACCTCCTAAAATCTCCCAAAACAGCACCACCAACCAGGGACAAAATGTTGAAATATTTGGAACCTGTGGGGGACAATTCTTATTCAAACCACCACAAAGGACTGATGAACATCATGTCAGCTGAATCTCATGAGGTGGGGAAAGCTCTCCGTGCTGTCTTTATACCTTTCTGTAATTTTGTGATTGTTAAAGGAATTTCAAAAAGTTATTACAGCAGAATCTGGCCCCTGGAATATACGGTATATTCATAATATGTGTGTGTGTGTGTGTGTGTGTGTGTGTGTGAGAGAGAGAGAGAGAGAGAGAGAGAGAGAGAGAGAGAGAGAGAGACTTTAGAATTGGTTTACTTAGATCCAAACAAAGAGAAATATTTCACATAGTACCAAGGTTTGCTCTATCTTATAAAATGATTTTTTTTTTTTTAAAAAAAAGATGCATCAGTGCTGGGCGTTGTGGCACATGCCTTTTAATCCCAGTATACACCTTTAATCCCAGCACTTGGGAGGCAGAGTCAGGCAAATGTCGGTGAGATTATGGCCATCCTGGTCCACATAGCGAGTTCCAGGCCAGTTGGGGTTACAAGGAGACCCAGTCTCAAAAACCCAAAACAAAACAAAAAGATGCATCAGTCACTTTCTTTCCTGCAGAAGCAGGAAGAACATTGCCTACACTCTCTAGAAACACAAATACATGTTCTTTATTAAAAGTTTTAATGACCATTCATTAGCTCAATTCTCAGCCAATGAAACTCATCATTTACTTCTATACATGCTGTTGTCGTGGAGTAACCAGGTTAAAAAAAAGTCTATCACCTTGGCTCATGTGGCTTTAGTAAGCAAGCCTAAGAAACTACTCTCTGGGATTCCACTGAATTTACTCCTTGACGCCCACGTTCGCATCTTCTTAAAGCCTGTCTTGAAAGTAGCCGTCTGGTACCATAGATCTTCTCTGGGTACTTTTCATCCTTCAGTTCTTTACTTTCATGACCAGGAGAAAAGATTTAAAAAAATTTTTTTGTTCCACTATATCCCCACATCTAAAAAACACTGTTCCCTTCCAGGTAGGATGCTTGATGGTCATACTGACCCTGATCCACAAGGCTTAGCAGAGTTCTGCTCTGAAGTAGTGTCAGGCATAATAGGTTCTATTTTATTTTATTTTATTTTTTTCAACTAGGAGCTTTCTGTCCATGGTTTGGTCCTCATCCTGCTGCTCTGGCTCAGAGGACACCGTCTTGCATTGCATTCAAAGGACATTTCTTTCATGTCAGGGTAATTAAGCTCCTTTTTACAGGCTGCTCCACCGACGATGTGGCCGCCCTGAAATCCTGTCTTCTATTGCACAGAATACTACACAATGCTCTCGGGGATATGAGTGTGCTCGCCTTCTAATTTCGAATGCCGTGCATTCTCCTTCCTCTTTGTCTTTGCATCTGAGTATAACCGCGTGATGTAGCTCATGCAACGCTTAGAGTGGGAGGCTGAAAGAAAAATGCATTAAAGATGAGTATTTATTTTTGAACAACATTGCACCCACTTATCTAAAACACTTTGGAAGCCATGTTTTAGGTTCAGGTGTTTATATTTTATAAAATCTAACCTAAAATTCTCTGATATAGGTAAATGGTCTGGATGAATTGTTTTACCTTAAGTTTTTAAAAGTTTTGCTACATATACAATATGCCAACCAGCCTGAAATAAAATATATAGGCATTTCTTTTATATTTTCTTTTATATATGTGTGGCAGAGAACAACACATTACCTTCAACAGAATCACATACTCAAACTAACAGGACTTATAGGAAAAACGGGTTTGAGGACAGACCTCTCAAAGCCCATGCAACTATATATAGAGCTGGCGATGGCTGCAGATGCTTATCTTCTAAATGTAAAAAACAATACAGCTGCAATACTGGATTCCAGGCACTGAGGCAGGGAGGATTGTCATGGCTGAGTCTGATTGTTAACTTAATTGGACTGAAAAGCACCTAGATTAGTAAAGCATAGTTCTGGGTGTGTCTGTGAAAGCATTTCCAAAGAGGATAAGCTAAGAAGGGCAGACTCACCCTGAGTGTGATAGGCCAGAGTCCCAGGTAGAATAAAGGGAGGAAGGAGGAGGATACCAGTGAACAAATGGATGCTCTCTTTCTCTGCTTCCTGGCTGCTGTAATGTGAACGGCTCTGTTCCACCACACCCTCCCCATGACAGTGAACTGAGACTTTGGAAACTGTGAGCTGAAACAAATCCTTCTGCCCTTGATAAATATCAGGTATTTATCACAATGACAGAAAAAAACCCCTGACTAACACAAGGATGGAAATAGAGATCTGAATCCAGGAGAAAATTCACCTCCCTATGACTACATGAGCTCCTGAATATTCCTCTCTGTGCAGGGGATCGATCCTGAGGCCAGGTATCCACTAAATATTCTTCAAATTGAACAACAGAGGCTATGCTTGCTCAGCACATGGCACAAGGACTTTTCTTTTCCTGCATCATGTCAGCTCACTTTCAAATGGAGAGGTAGGGAAAGCCCCTTGTGCTGTCTTTACAACTTTCTATAATTTTGTGATTGTTATAACTTACAATTTTGAAGTTCTCACTGTTTTATCTGTCCTTGCCTGGGAAAATCAGGATGGGAATCAATCCAACTTACACAGGATACTGATAGCATTCACCTGTGTCTTACAACCCAACAGACTGTAGGCAGCATCCCCACACTTCCTGCCCTTGCTCATTCTTCACACGGTCAGCTCACCGTGTCTCCATTTCATGAAGAATAAAACAATCAAACAAAAAGGCAGAAGTGATATAAAAGATCAGCTTCCTACAAGAAAATCTCAATCATACCAATAGAATCAAGCAGTTAAGATCACTGTGTTTCTTGTATCTCCTGGTAGGCAGAATAAATTAATTGGCAGGGGGGACATACATTGGCCAGAAGGTATAAAGTTCTCACTTTGCTGTTGACATAGCTTCTGCCTACTAGATTCAAACTCACATGCATTCCCCCACATCCACATTCTCTCCTTCCTGTCTGTAATCATTCCCTCCTGGTCTGGTTGTTTTGCTTGTTTATTTGTTTTGTCAGTTTGACACCACCTGGGAAGAAGGAAGCTTAACTGAGGAATTCTCTCTATGGGATTGGCCTTTGGTCATGTCTATGAGGAATTATCTTTCTTACTTTCTTTCTTTCCTTTTTTACAATTTTAAAAATTTTATTTTATGTGTATGAGTGTTTTACCTGCATGTATGTAAGTGTACCCATGTTGTACAATGCCTATGGAGGCCAGAGGAGGGCTTCAAATTCCTCGGACCTGCACTTACAGATACACCTGCCATGTGTGTATGCTGGGAATTGAATCTGGGTCCTCTGCAAGAGTAGCCAGTGCTCTTAACCACTGAGCCATTTCTCCAGCTGAAGTGTGAGGCATTTTCTTAATTGCTAATTGATGTAGGAGGGCCCAGCTCACTGTGGGTGGTGACACCCATGGGTAGGTGGGCCTGGGCTGTATTAAAAAAACCAACCAGAACAAGCCAGGGGGCAAGTCAGTAAGCTGTGTTCTTCCATGGTCTCTGCTTCAGTTCCTGCTAGAGCTCCTGCCCTGCCTTCCCTCAGTGATGGACTGTGACAGGGAAGTGCAGGTGAAACTCTTTTCTCCCCATGTTGGCTTCATTCAGTGTTTTATCACAGCAACAGAAAGCAAAGTATAACATCCCCCACCTCCTAATTTTGCTTGAAGAATTGCACTGAAGCTATCCAAAAGACCCAAAATATTTCTTCTAGAATTGAATAATCTTTGTATTCAATTATTCAATGCAGATTTATCAATCATTTCATCTGTGCCAGACCCCTCTTTGAGGATATAGAATAAATCAAATTATCCACCACCTGAAAGAACATTTCAGAAACTGAATTTAAAACACCCTAAACCACTGGATGGTGTGGAAGGAGCTTTATTGATGGGTATCATGTAGTATGCTCTGGAGTCTAGGAGCCCATCCAGTACCCCTGAGTGTCACAGGAAAGTCAGTGGCTGGCTTCCCAGAGTAAAGGACTGGCCACCTGCATGAAGTTAACTCCTGATTAGTTTTTAAGATAAGCTTGAAAAAATACTTTATTTTTATTTTATGTGCATGAGTGTTCTATCTGTATGTATGTAAGTGTACCACATACATGCAATACCCACAGAGGCCAGGAAAGGGCATAGGGTCTCTGGAACTGGAATTATGGATAGTTGTAAGTCTCCATGTAGGTGTTGGGAACTGAACCCAGGTCCTCTGCAAGAATGGCAAGTGCTCTTAACTGCTGAGCCATCATCTCTCTAGCCCCTAAGATAAACTTAATTTCCATAAGTCAAACTAAAATATTAAATTTTGATTCTACCCCTCACCCCTTTCTTTAAACTTCATTTTTCAAATCTTGTCACACAATTGACTTACTTTTGCTGTTTTTCTCTTGGGAGGATGTTTCATCATTAGTTGACCTTGATCTGTAACCTTCTAGAGTGTGTTCTAAAATTTCATTTTCTGTAAGGAAAGAAAATTAAGTTACAAATGTCTGGTGTTGCAGACATCATTGATATGTGGATAGGAAAGTATGAACAAGATGTTAGCATGGGGACTACACAATAGCTGAACCATCATGCCCTCCTGCACCCCATCTCCTCAGGTGCTCAGTTGTCTGTCTTACAGTGCTTTTAGGCTCTCTGAGGACTCTGTGTACGGCTCTGTAAGAGCTGTGGAAGTCTAAAGACACTGCAATGGGAGCAAGCACCGTCCTTCAAGGAGGAACAGTGGCAACAGTCCTGAAGGAACAATGGTGAATCACTGGCAGGAGCTTTTGAAATAATACAATGCTGTTTGCCTGGTGTTCAGTGAAAGAGTCAGACCCTGTCTCTAGGCCCATTGATTCATTTATTTTATGGTCAAATCCTTTCAATTAATTGTTTTAGTTAGCATACAGAATACTGGGTTTTCCATACATATATGCCATTGTGATCTTCTCATGTTTGTGCTCTACCATCACACCACCATCAGCCCCTCGCAGCCCTTCTCCCCTCCCACTGGCACCCCTCTTCTGCTTTCAACATGTGCTGCTGATCTTCCCTCACTAGCCTCTCTTGTTTACCTCTTCTGGGTCTATCATAATGAGGACGTTAGTTCATCTGACTATCTAGACGCACTCATATTAAACTAGCATAAGTGATGCTTTTAAGTCAGTTGTTAAAAAATGAAACATTTTGCCTTGGTACAAAAAATTTTCTGCCACTGTAGGTGTTGGGCCATATCTGACCAGATGAGCAGTGTTGAGCAGCACCGTAACACAAGTCACACAAGTCATTTAAGATATTCTGGTAGCCACATTCAGAATGGAAAAAGAAGAAGAAATTAATTTAGCAATTATTTTAGTACACCCAAAGGATCATCATTAGGTATATTATGCCTGAATTTGAATGTGCATGTCCTAGTTTGTTTCTCCATTGCTGTGACAAAACACTCTGACCAATACCAACTTGGGGAGGAAAGGGTTTATTTAGCTTACATATCCTGGGTCACAGTTTATCTGGGAGCCCAAAGTAGAAACTCAGGACAGAAACCTGGAGGCAGGAGCTGGAGCACAGGCCATGGAGGAATGCTGCTTACTGGCTTGCTCCCCTGGGCCCTGCTTAGCCTTTCTTATGCAACATAGGCTCACCTGCCCAGGGGTGGTACCACCCACAGAAGGCTGGGCCCTCCTACATCACTCAATAATCAAGAAGATGACCCACAGACATGGCCACAGGCCAGTCCAATGAAGGAAATTCCCCAATTGAGCTCCCTCAGCCCAGGTGTGTCAAAATGACACTAAAGCTATCCAGCACAGTGCACATGTACAGACTGGTTCTTTAAAATCAAGTTAGTATTTTCTCCTTATAGCACATTTTTCTAGGGACTCATGACATATCAGGAACTCAGTGGTCATCTTATAACTGCTGTTGGATAGCAAAGGGTTAGATAATCAGTCAGAATTAAAGAGGGGATTTTTTTTGTTTAATTAGTTAAAATTTATTTTGATTTGCATACAATGTATTGTGATCATAGTCCCCCATTAGCTTTTCTTTCTTTTTTCTAAAAAGGATTTATTTATTTTTATTTTATGTGTATGAATGAATGTTTTGTCTCCATATATGTAAGTGCACCACATGTGTACAATACCTGTGGAGGCCAGAAGAGGGCATAGAATACCCTCTAGAAATGGAGTTACAGATGGTTGTTAGCTGCCATGTGGGTGCTGGGAAGTGAACCTGAGTCCTCTGCTGGAGCAGCCAGTGCTCTTAACTACTGAGCCATCTCTCCAGCCCTGTTATCTTTTCTTTCCCCTGAGCACTTCTGTTGACTTTTGTCTTTTCCCCAACTAGTCCCTCTCCTTCTCTTATCTTTTTTCCACATGCAGATCTTATACAGGTGGTCACAGCTGAATCATGTGTGTTCATGATTCCAACAACTGGGTTATGTCTAGGAGACAGCATTTGATGGAACACCTCCCCATCCTCCAGCTTTTAGTCTTTCAATACCCATGAAAAGGGGATTTCATCTACACGTTATGGGATGAATTTATGGAATTACTTTCAATAACTTCTAAGGTCCTGTCTAGCTCTGATGTGTTAAGTTTATATATTTTAATAGGCATCTTCCATACTCACTAGTTTTAAATTTTTCACTTACTTATTACTATTATTATCTTGTTTTGTTTTTTTAAAAAAATATTTGTCTATATTTAATGTGTATGTGTGTATGTGTCTGTGCACATCAGTACTGATACTCACCGAAGCCAGAGGTGTTGGATTTCCTAGAGCTGGAATTAGAGGTAAGCCACCTAACATGGGTGCTGGGAATCAAACTCAGGTCCTCTGAAAGAGCAGTAAATGCTCTTAAGCATGGCACCATCTCTCTACCTCTTTATTTTGGTTTTCAATGGTAACTTTTTCATTAGAATGTAAAGGAGGAATGAGTAGCATATTATGCATGAGTGAGACTGAGTCCATTCTTACAAAGCAGTAATAGCACCCGAACTATTATAGTTTACCGTTGTCCCTAAGTTCCCCAAGAGCAGGGATCTCCTGTCCTGTAGACTGATGTGGCCCCAGTGCCTGGCACACAGTGGGCACTCAGTGAATGTTTATTTTATTGAATGAATGGATGAATTAGCTCTGAATTTTGTGAATAAAAGCATTTATAATTCAGCACCAATTCCCAGAGCTACTTTAGTTTCTGTTGGTCCTATACTTTTATAAAAAGATTTCTTTTAAGTGTGTGTGTGTGTGTGTGTGTGTGTGTGTGTGTGTACGGTGTCCAAGGAAGTCAGAAGATGGAGTCAGATCCTGGAGCTGTAGTTACAGGTAGTACAGGTAGTTGTGAACTGCCCAACATGCATTCTGAGAACCAAACTCCAGTGTCTGTGAAAGCAGTACACTCTCTTAACCACTAAGCCATCTCTCCAGCCCCTGGTCCTATATATTTTGAGCATAGTCTCTGGAGACTCATAGTCCCTGTTTACTAGAAAACAACTGATTTTTGTTTGTTTGTTTGTTTGTTGATCCCCTGTAGCCGCAGCTGGCACGGAACTTGCCATATAGACTAGTCTGGCCTCACCTGCCTCTGCCTCCTGAGTCCTGGTATTAAGTGTATGAGACACCATGCCTGGCTGACTGTTTTGTTTTTTTTTTTTATTGTTGCGTGATACCCCTTCTGGTCAGTTTATGCAACAGCTAAGCTTTGATTGGCAGCAGTCATGTTTTTGGTCCAGTCAGTTGCTGGACTCTTCTAACCTCCTCCAGGTTCTCTGTCCACTCACCCCTTTTCCATATCACATGTGCTTTCCGCAGCTTCATTATGAAGAGCTGGACGATGATGAAGAGGATGAAAATGAGGAAGGACACGAGCATGAGCAGCAGGATACCACTCTTCCTCAGCGCCAGCCCTGTATACTGAGCACTTGTTTCTGGAAGAACAAGAGGACTTTAAGCGGTTTGGGTTTTGTGAGTTTTGTTTCACAGTTTTGACCATTATAGCATGTGATGGTTGGTTTTAGTTGTCAGCTTGACAACAAGGTAGAATCACCTGGGAAGTGTGTCTCAGGCTCAGTGAGGGATTGTGTAGATCAGGTTGTCTGGTGTGCCTGTCTATGGGGGACTGTCTTGATTATGTCAAGTAATGTGGGAAGACCAGGCCCACTGTGGGCAGCACCATTCCCTGGGTTTGGGCCCTGGACTAGGTAAGAGTAAAGAAAGTGAGCTGAGTAGAATTCATGCGTTCATCCTCTCTGCCCTTGACTGTGATGTGACTAGCTGTTTAAAGTTTCTGCCTGGACTTCCTTGCAGTGGTGGACTGTAACCTGGACTTGTGAGCCAAATAAACCCTCTCTCCCATAACGTTGCTCTTGTCAGGGTATTTTATCACAGCAACAGGAGATGAAACTAGGACAAGGAATGTATACCACACGTCCTCAGTGCAGCATGGGCCAAATTGATAGCTGAGATCAAGTGATGGGGCCAAGTTTACTTTAAGATTGAGGACGTAGGGTCCAGTTTTTGGAAAACAAGCAAGCAAGCATAGGAACAAAGCAATCTTGTGGACTTGAAAAGTTGTTCTTCGAAAAAGTGAGAAAACACATGGGACTATTGACTTAACTTACAGTCTGGGAATTGAAAGTAGCTTCCAGGAATGCTAGTTTAGCAAAATGTAGTTAGGTAGTAAAGGTTAAGGAGTCTGGAAAACTGGCCAAGTAAAACAAAACTGGCCAAGTAAAACAAAACCACGGTTCAGTGTGGTTCTGTGTAAAGAGCATGTGCTGGATAGCTTTAGTGTCAACTTGACACACCTGGGTTGAGGGAGCCTCAATCGGGGAATTGCCTCTATTGGACTGGCCTGTGGCCATGTCTGAAGGGCATCTTCTTGATGAGTGATGTGGGAGGGCCCAGCCCACTGTGGGTGGTGCCACCCTTGGGCAGGTGGGCCTGTGTTGCATAAGAAAGCAGGCTGAGCAGGGGTCAGGGGAGCAAGCCAGTAAGCAGTGTTCCTCCATGGCCTGTGCTCCAGCTCCTGCCTCCAGGTTCCTGCCCTGAGTTCCTACCTTGGGCTCCCTGATGAACTGCATGCGACCTGGGAGATGTAAGACAAATAAACCCTTTCCTCCCCAAGTTGGTATTGGTCAGAGTGTTTTGTCACAGCAATGAAGAATCAAACCATGACAGAGCATTAGGA